GGCTCCCTTAAAGTCTTTTATTAGTGAAACTATGAACCCCAAGAAGGGACCCAATTTCCCAGATAATATGTAGTAGCCCAGGTGGGACTCCCCAAAATTTCCTGTAACTTATTTAAATAAGCAAGAAACGGTTTGTATTCAGCCATATACAATTCAAAACCAACTGTGCTAACATCAACATTCTTGTGTTTAGACTTACATGCTATCTGTACATGCTATCTCTACATGAAACTTGCTATCTGTACATGCTATCTGTACATGAAACTTTCCAGGAATGCACAGAAATAGAGGGATTCATATGTCTAGTGCCTTGTACATCACTTAGTCGTATTTGATCTCACATTTCATCTTTCTTTTATTAATGCTTCTCATTTGTTCTTTAACGATTTCACATAGACATGTACAGAATGTATTTTAATCATATTTACTCCCTCTTCCAAAACCTCAAAGCCCTCCTCACACATGCCCCTACCAATTTTGTGTCTGCAGAGGGTCCAGCCTTCTGTAGGTCAGAGAGACTGGGAACAAGATGCAAAATTGGAGAGAAAAACAGTTCTTGTCTGAGGGCTAAAGGCTCCTTTGTCTTTCTATTATTCTTTCTGTTGCTTGTTCTACGCTATTCTTTTTCTGTTCTGTTCTTCTACCCTAGTTTCTCTTCGTTGTCCTTCCCGATGGCGGCTTCTTTCTACCTTACTTTATTTTCTCCCTTACAGCTTGTATACCCCAGAACCGTTCAAGCAATGTAAAAATTACAATGTGGTTACATTTTATTTTTTAAGTGAATGATTATAATGAATACAAGTAAAAAACATGTTTTCCATATCCCTTACATGATTAAACATTTTATATATTACAGGTGAAAAACAAATTATCCCCAGAACCCACATACATTCATGTCCCAGCCACTTGTTATAGGTTAGCAGAGCATAAGCAAGCAAGGGGTTTTTCTCAGCCAGTCCTTTTCCTTTTACTGGCATTTCGCCATTACAAAGAAAGGACCAATCATTTTATTATTTATCTCAAAAGGTAATCTTGTAAAAAAAAATCTTGTGGTATGATTGAGCATTTCTTGGGTATATGCCCAAGAGTGGTATAGCTGGATCTTGGGGGAGA